ACACGATTCCGAGGCACGAGGTTACATTCTACAAGGTTATCGCTGGGACACCTGAGAACAGTTGAAGTAACGTTGAAAAGTGATTGACTTACTTATAACGCTGGTGGCATGACGAAGCTTCTTTGGCGAGAATCACCTACCTACACAAGCCACTCCATCACCAGAATAACCATTAAGACACGTACAGTAGAATGATCCTTTAGTGTTGGTACAGTTAGCATCAACATGACAGTTGTGCGCGAAGTGACTGTGGATTGACGCGAGGTCGTCCGATCGGCATTCGTTGATATCTGCAATTTGATTTAAGTGACTCGTTTTGATTATAACATTCGTTCACTTCTGAAAAGACCAAAACCAATAGTTTTAAACATAGCTACGGATACCAGGATAAAGCATATTCGCTTTTGAAAGCTTAGCTACGAATCGGTTTTTTAAACAAAATATGTGTTAAACTGTTTAATCTAGTGAATTTTAAGCAGAGAGATTTCGCAGTTATTTAAAGCAGTGTCTATGAACAAATATCGTATTCATGCTAAGGAAAATAACTGCATATAGTTACATAAGGCCAATTTTTCGGCTTGTCTCGGAGTGAGTTACAGAGAAAAAACGTCAACATGAACGGATAAAACAAACATTTGATTAAACTCATTTCCTCATCTAAGACATCTAAGGCTTTTACAATTAGAGGCTAAAAGCAGGCAGGAAGTGTTCGAAATGGACAGGTGTTCTTTCAGTAATGAAAGCTATTTTGTTTTACCTGCACAAATAACACCATCTCCTGAGTAACCATGGTGACACATACAATAAAATGATCCCTTGGTGTTGGTACAGTTAGCATCGTCGTGACAATTATGAGCATAATTGCTGTGATGAGACGCCAGGGCTTCAGTTTGACATTCGCTTATATCTGTGATTTTAATTAAAAATTCTTGTTACCTTTCATTTGGTTTGAACTGTAACTAATGCTTCAATTGAGAGTATGATCTGTCCACACAGAATTGATTCCCCATAGATCGGAAGAAGAGTTTAATTTAGTGCGAAAACGTTTTTGAGAGGCTAAGGCCAAGGCAGGTATCTCCGACAATAGGTACTGGTGCAATTACACATACGCCAAGATACAGTTTTTAACTTATTTGTAATTTTTGAAAAATGGTGGAGCCCAGAATAGTGCAGTATAAGGAAGCAGAATGGCTCGAATGGTTGTCAATCGATTGGAATACTTTTCCACGATACTGGGTATTTACGGTACTTAATTGTCATCAGCTAACATATAACGCTCAAACATAAACTCCTTTAAACGGTGGGAACAGCTTACCATTACAAGTGACTCCGTCTCCAGAGTATCCCGTATGACAGGTACAGTAGAATGACCCTTTGGTGTTGGTACAGTTGGCATCAGAATGACAATTATGGGTTCCAGAAGCACATTCATCGATGTCTAGTGAAGACAAAATATCAAAATCATTTTGACGACCGTACCTGTAGATACTCTCAAGAATTGTATTACCATCTTCTCAATTCGTCATCATTCTCAGTTACAATGAATCTATCTTCCCTCTCCTCAGTTTGCTATTCAGCATTCTGACTTCCAGGAACAAGCTATGCACATTATTTAACTCACATCTAGCCTTTTGACACGTACGTCCCAGTAATCGAGAAAAGATAATATACCAAGTTGGAGGCTTGATTTGTTTTATTGAATAAAGTGGTACTCTTATCTCTTACTGCCCACTCCTTCTGCTAAAAATGCAATCTTGTAACTCTACCTGTACAGTGTTCCCCTGAACCAGAGTATCCCTTCAGGCATGCGCAGTGGTAAGATCCTTTTGTGTTTGTACAGTTAGCATCATCATGACAAATGTGAGCCAAGTGTTGATACTCAGATGATAATCCAGATGGGTCACATTCGTTGATGTCTTTTAAACGAAAGGTAAATAAGTGGTTATAAGTCCATGCTTTTTTAAATATTTACTCTTTTTTTTTCACGTGTGCAATCTTAAACCAACAAAAACGTACGGTACTTAGAAAAAGGGTTTTCATTTTGTCAGAAACGTTTTGTATCTCGCAGTGCTTTGAGCTTTTTAGTTAAGTTAATTTAAGTTTGTTTGGCCCTCGCTAAGATGATAAAAACAATGGAATGCCATGGGAAAGTGATACCTAGACACACGACACCATCTCCAGAGTATCCCGTATGACACGTGCAATGGAATGATCCTTCAGTGTTGGTACAGTTGGCATCCACGTGACAGTTGTGAGCAAGATGAAGATATTCATCAGATATCCGATCAGGAAAACATTCATCCACATCTAAGAAAAAGCAAAAAGCAGAAATCACCAAATATTTTAATGGACGCTATACATCTTAAACGTTTTGTATTTATTCATAAAACTATAATTAGTCTTGTGTAAGGAGCAATCATTTTACCAACACACGTATTTCCATCCCCAGAGTATCCCGTATGACACGTGCAGTAGAATGATCCTTTGGTGTTGGTGCAGTTGGCATCAGCATGGCAATCATGAGCAAGTTGAAGATATTCATCAGATATCTGACCAGGAAAACACTCCTCAATGTCTGTAAGAAAAAAGAAAGAAGGAAATATTTCCTACAGTGGGTGACAACATAAAGGTCTCAATAACTGGGTCATAAGGACAAGGGTGCATCAATATTGGATCAGTTGTAACATAAAACGTTTAATAAAACAGTAGATTACAGTACCATCACACATGACTCCATCTCCAGAGTATCCCGTATGACACGTGCAGGAGAATGATCCTCTGGTGTTGGTACAGTTTGCATCCACGTGACAATTATCTATTTCTTTTTCGCATTCCTCGATATCTGAAAAGGAAAGGAATAAATTTCTTTACTGAAGACTCTTGCTAGCTCTTTCGAAATTCTGTTCAAGATAACCAGATAACCATATTGGTCGCAATAGTATAATAAGGTCCTTGTGCTATTTTGAATAAATAAGCACAATAAAGTTTTTGAAAGAAATACAGATTGTATTTGCCACAATACAATTTGTCAACCTTTAAAAAATTGCTTGTGCTTATTTATTACAAAAACTAACACATTTGGATGTCCGTAAAATCAAATATGGATCAGGCTTTCCAGAACTCTTCTCTGGAGAAACTGTATTAACATATCGTTATGCAATTCACACCGGTCTTGCTCGCACTCCATTAAACAATGCAAAGCAATTTGTGGTCGGTGGCTGTGGCAGGAGGAAACATGCCTTCTACTGAAAGCAACGAAACCTGATGGTGGAATATCGAGTTATCTGGTTGCGTGCACTTGGTTCCAACCGCTCTCTTTTTTTCAAGTTACTGAAACCAGCAAAGTGCAAAGCACAATGTGAAACACAAAAAACTCGGCATGAAGATAACCTACCACAAAAACTTGAAGACAGAGCAGCGCACAAGTGGCAACAGCAAAGATGCCCTTACATGTAACAAGCAATAGCGGGATCCAAACCCTGACAATATGGGTAGGAAAATTTTGAACCCAGAGGGGTCTAGTGGCCTTCCACGGTCCCAAAGCATGCTGGAAATGCTTTTTAGTTACTCTTTCATCACCTTCACCTTATCACTAACCAATATTACAACAAAAACTAAGGAATATCAACATAACATCCCGGAAACACACACAGCTGGAATCCAATACAATGTAAGTATTTCAGATTACCTAGTGACTGGCGCGGTGGCCTAACGCTGCGCTCCGGATCGTGACCTATTGAGCCCTGGCTGGGATCAATGTTTGGTGTTTTTCGGCCAGGTACTATGAAACCTATCTTCGCCCAGGTGTATATATGGGTACCGTAGAAATATTCCTGGTCGCTTCGTGCAACCGAAAACCGGAAATAGAGTCGGTCTGATGAGCCACTAAGCTCGAACCCCGACTTGACCTACCTATTTCAAATTACCGGCCATGCAGGAAAGGCTATGGGCCAAAATTGTTGCCAAGAGCATCATATGCCTTGCGGTCTGAATGGAACGGGATAGTCATGCCAAACTATGTGCGTGCTCTTATAAACAATCGTGCGTAATAGGGAATAATGCTTAAAAACATTGTCGTAAATATATATTTTTTAAATTCATTGCATGGGTAAGCGAGGATACTAAACAGGGAGTAAGGGCGCTAAAACCGCAGTCAGACAACTTCTCGTGCCTTCTGTAACCATGAAGATAAATGCAAGACAAGTACGTCCAATCCAGCTGCAGGGAGGTGCAACACAAGCATTAACCCGAGCGTAACAGAGAACCTTTTATTTCCTTCACAGCGTGTGCTTTTGCTTGTGTGCGCTTTTGTTTGCGTGTTTGGGTCACGCATGTGAACCGATCCCAGGGAAAGGCAGGTAAGATAATTGCCTTAATGGAATTTTACATACTCCAGGAACTTCAAACTAAAACGTACATCAACACATTTCTTCACACAAGAAGGGAATACACGGTAGAATCTAAACATTCACGTGGTTTAGTCACATAATTAAGGTTTAATTTTTAAATAGTCTTT